CGTGCTTTGGGTACCGCGGATGTAGCACAGTGAAAAGGCGGAAAATTTTCGAAGGAAAGGAGGTATGAAATATTCCGGTATATGTTCAAATTTTCGTACCGAAAACCAGGTTTTACTTTCTACCTTTTTAGTTTGGAACACTGAACTACAGGGATTAGTAAGATTTCAATCTAAAATGATTTATCCCAGCCCGAAATTTCTTTTATGGCCTCTTGATTTCACTGAAATCACCGTGAAGCCCACTTTCGGTATTCTGCTGCCTATCAAGAAACGTGCAGGATCTGGAAATTGCTGTGTGGTTGAACCTGCTCTTTGTTTTTCCTTTCCTTCTCCGTTTATTCTTCTAAAACGTGTCAATCATGCCCGAGTCCCACTGGAGCGACAGACAGAAAGAGACGACAGTGACAAGCCTCAAAGAGTGCCTTTGGCGATTTGACATGCTTTGTAGAATAAACGAATCTAGGCTCTAACACGATCATCATGCAGGCCAGAGAATCTTTTGCCGGCTTGCAATCACTCGTGCTTACTTCGCGAGCACGGAACGACTAAACACCTGCCAAAGGTACCATATCGAGCATGCTGCATGTGTTTTACACGTGTAGTTGTTGTTTGTTTATGTTTGTCGTTATAGTGAACTCGGTCATACAGTACGAGAACTGATCAACCATCCCGTGGCGCCCGAAAAACACCTGCGTGCGTCTGCGGGCTTCTTACTCTCGATAGAAACCGCGGTATTAAACCGTGTGCATCACTTTGATCTACGGAAAGCAGCAGCAGAGACTTGTGGCCTCCTTCTCATTAAGAACGTTGATCGTTCTAAACCAGACGTAATGCGTTGAAACTTCCCGTATGAAAATCTTATATCTGGGCCATATCTGGCCATATCAAACATTATATGATTATATACGGCATATATACAGTCTTATCTGGCGTATATACAGACTTATCTGGCGTATATACAGCCTGATATGGCGTATATACAGACTTATCTGGCGTATATACAGACTTATCTGGCATCTATACAGACTGATATGGCGTATATACAGACATATCTGGCGTATATACAGACTTATCTGGCGGCCGGTTCTCAATAAATTAAAAAGTTTGAAAAAGTAAAAACAAATTTTGTTACCAATCTCTGAATGACTCATTGTTTGCGAGCTAAATATTAGCACAAATAATCCCAAACTTCACCTTTGACAAGCTTAAGTTTGAGATTATTTGTGCTAGTTTTCACGAGGATTTCAATGTAGCTTAATTATTTCAAAGTGTTAACATTACGCCCGAATAGACAATTTGCTAAATCCCCAAGCGCCTCGGCCCGTACTCGAGGGATCATGGGGACGGTGTTTATTCAGCTGCCTAGTTATCGAAAATTTCGAGCAATTCTATGGTTACAAAGATTTGAATGTAATTCGGAGTCACCCTGAACACGTGGCGTACAAAACCCAAGTACCTGCCATACCACTTTTAGAATGTCCCGCCAATGTGAGTACTGTGCATTCCATCCAACCTTCAACCTGGATGAGCTGCAGACATATCTCCTACATTATTATCATTATTGTACAGCTTCAAAGACGCTGATCTTAAGTTAGAAATGCGAAACATTTCATAAACAGCCCCGCTGAATCTGAGCTAAATTCCGGTTTTGGTTCTTGTGATTTCTCGGCTTTTAAGTAATACCTGTTAAAACAACAATCAGGAGAATGATAATATGGTAAGAGATTTCGGCGTCTCAGCCTGGTTAAAGGTTGGACAGAAGGCACAGTATCGTAAACGCTGCCATTGACGAGAAAATTTAGAAGAGATATGACAGGTACTTGAGCCCTATGGGGCGCTTGTTCAGGGTGACTACAAATTACACTCGAAACTGTGTAACCATGGAATTAGTCAAAACTAACGATCACTAGGGAACTGAAGGATCACCGTTTCTATAACTCCGCGAGTGCAGGCCGGGGCACTTGGGAGAATTGTAGACAATAAAAATATATAAAGTCTGTTCTTTTGAAATGCCTGACCAGATCTGGAAATTCCTTACTTAGCCAGATCTGGGATTTCCATACCTGGCCAGGGGTATCAGGCTATATCTGGGATTATGAGGCTATATCTGGCAGATATACAATATCAGGTTATATGTGGCCAATTTTTGATATGGCCATATCTGAAATCTTCAGATCTGGCCAGATATAAATTTTTTGTAAGGGTTGCAGCAGTGTCCAGCAATAAACACGCTTTCCGATTCCCTTCTGCGTATATACCGTTTTACATTAGGTCCGACCGCGGCAAACGCCACGATCCAATGGAGCCAATCATAAAGCGCCAAAAGTGCATTGCCACGCCACTCGCCGTCTTTCTGCGTTTCCCAATAACGGGTGAACAAATCACGGACGAAATAAAACTGGCGCAGTATTAAGCAGCATTCACTTTGCGTGATTGGTTTACACCGTCACAGAAAGCTTATAAAGGCGACCAGTGCCATGATGATGCGCTTTTGGCGCTTGCTGATTCACTTCGTCTAATCGCGGTGTTAGCTCCGGTCGCATTAAAGGGCAACTCCGCTCAATTCCGAAGATATCGGAATAATGAGTAATTTCGCCTTAGAAAGCCCTAGTAAAAGACACTACGGCATTTGCTTCGCGAAAAATGGGTTATATATATTTTTTAATTCAATTTTAAACATGAGCGGAAGTCGGAACCGAAACTTGGGCTCCGTCCAGCAACATTGGCATCGGGCCGTCAAGAAAATGGCTATCACGTGGTACGAGATGTCACGTGTTGAGGGGCGGATTTAGGGGGAAGGGGCAAAGATGTGGGGGGCCTCCCCGCCCCTCCCCCTTTCCCCTTTACGCGCCTATGTGGGATAAAAACAAATCTGAAAGCGTGCCTCGTTCTTGGTCAAGTGGTGATTATTTGGTCGACAAAATAGATCTGCGCAGCCGAAGCAGGACAATGGATCCGGATGGCTGTGTTTCCTATAAAAGTCTTTCATATTTCAAAAAAGAAAAAAAAGAGAGAGATGAGCGTACAAGTTCACCAGACGCGAAATGTACATGCGAACGGAAAGCGGTGCTTCTTCGAAGTTTAGAACGTAAGATGGCAAATTGGCGTTCCACTCAACTCACGTTCGGTCGAAAGTGACGACGCTGTTTTACAGTTCAGAGAGAGACTGAGAACCATCGCAAAGGCGTTAGAAACAGTTTTCCAGTGGCGAAAACAAAACCCGGCTGTCAAGGCGACATTCCTGCCTAGACCAGTCCAGAATTCGTCATCGCCACCTCTCTACGACGTTCCTTCAGTCCCACTACCCCTGAGTCGGCTGCTCCAAAAGCCGAATCTCGAAATGAACAGTGCCTCGGACATCGTAAAAGACCCGATCGTCATCCTGAGTGAAAAGTGAAACCCGTTGCACGTCGGGAAGACTTCAAAAAATATTTTCACACATACAGAAGACATTTCCGAGAAGATGGGATCCGGGAGCCCAATTAGATGTGCCTCATCTGGTGCAACGACAAATGCTCTGCGCAAAATTGCCTCCACAGACAGCCGACTCATATTTCTGCGCACATGTCAACATTCCTCTTGTGGAATTCGTTGTTGAAGATCTCAAACAGCATTTGCCGGAAGAGGTCCTGGAGGTGTCCTCCAGCACCTCAGAGCCGAAGGTTCACTGAAAAAGGCAAGGGAGGCGAGATTAAGAGAAGGGGCCTCTTGCATCGACAGCTGCAGAGACACTTCAGGAGCCGAAGCCAGAGCTGTATCCCAACATCAGGACTCTGCTGCGTGTTCTTGCCACACTGCCAGTTGGTTTTACGACGGCTGAGCGGCCCGTCGTCGGATTTAGACTTGGATTAGATCGCGGTGTGGGCGAAAAGCGACTCAATGGTTATGCTATCAAGATGTCAACGTCGACTAACAGAAGGTGGTAGACCGCTACGCGCAAGGAACACGACGACAGAAGGCGATGTTCGTGCTGTGAAGAACCTTTAATTTGAGAACTTGTGTGAATAATTATGTCTTTATACTGTCCTTCCCAAATGTAGGGGATTATCTAGTTCATCTCACTGAAACGTGAATCTGCTCAATAAATAATTTTAATGTTGTTCCATGCAATATGCCTAGGCACTGCGCTGACGAACTTTTGATCTCGAATTTTTCTTTTCTATTGGTACAACGCATCCACTATAAGACCAGAAAGGATCGAACAGTTATTTTTATTTGGCTGTACTCCGTAAAACACCAAGCCATTGAGAGTAAAGTCGCCGAGGAATCGCACCCACTGTTTTTCTCTTAGAATTTGATTGCTTCAACTAAACGTTCAAAATCCTGTCGCGTCATCCCATTCCCAAGAGCTTTTCAATTTCAAAAGTGATAAATTAAAATAACAATTAAAATATCATGGTATTTTGATTATGTTCGTCAAGGAATCAAAAAGTCTCCATATTATTCGGCCTTCTTACATTTGTCTTGCTAACAAATCCTTTCTTCTCCGGTCTTCGTGGTGTTTTTGGTCTGAATTGATAAAAATAATATTAAGTTTATTCACAAAGAAAGTATACATAAAATTTACTCAGCCTCACAAAAGCACTTGCTTGATCCTATTTGATCGAGTCTCTGCTAAAACGCTCTCACGTCCCGTGGTTCAGTTGCCTGTGTTGCTTAAATGGGGATACCCTTACAAAAAATTTATTTCCGGCCAGATCTGACAATTTCAGATATGGCCATATCAAAAATTGACCAGATATAACCTGATACGGTATATCTGCCAGATATAGCCTCCTAATTTCAGATATAGCCTGATACCCCTGGCCAGGTATGGATATCCCATATCTGGCTAAGTGAGGAAATTCCATATCTGGCCCAGTATTTCAAAAGGACACAAGCCTGAAATTTGCATTTGATATCTTTTTATTCCCTACAATTCCCCCAAGTGCCCCGGCCCGCACTCGAGGAGTTATGGAAACGGTGGTCCTTCAGCTGTTCAGAAAATTTTATTCCACAAAAATGCACGCTCGCTGCACGCAACAAACATATTCAACGGTCTCGCGGGGGACTGGTCTGTAGTATCAACTAGAGTTTAAGGCCCATTAAACAGTAAAAAGTTGATCATGACGCGACCCCTCACCACACAAAGGTAGCGGCACGACCACCGGCGGAGGAACTCTTGTTCACCAAGGGAGAACCGCTGGTCGTCCAGGTAGGCGGTGAGTTCTTTTCGGATGTCCCACAACAGCGGCCGCAACGCGCGGCGTCGTTGTCGCTGGGCCATCGCGACACAACGGTTTCGCCACAGCACCCACTCACATATTGCTACTAGTAGCAGCGCAAAGGCGCCCCGCGGGCAACGGCCTTGTGTAACGTATACGTCCACCCCGAGACCTCGAAACGAGCGCTCTATTACGCGCCATAGGTCCCTCGCCGGTACACACTCTCTCACGACTTGCGGGTTTGTTTCTATTGCACCACAATTGACGCACTGTGCGTCCCGTACCACTCCCCAGCGGAAAAGCCTGTCTTTTGTTGGGAGGACACCCCAACCCTTTAACCATTCAAAGTCGCGCACGTGGTCCGGCAGAGTGGACGACGTCAGTGCCAGCCACGGGTACGGCTGCACCGTGCCCGGCGGCGGCGGGGGTTGTTCTGCCACCACTAGGCGTTCAACAAGCCTAGACGCCGGGGCCTCGAGTATCTCCTCTCGTGACACCTGGACGCTGAGCTTGTTGAAGAGATCCGCGGTAGACCTGTAAAATGCAGGCGTCGTCTCCGCTCGGGGCCGAAGAGGGCTTGGAAGAGAGTCTCCCAAAAGACGGTTATTGGCGCCGAGGAAGTAGAGCGTGAGTGGCCGTGCTGGGTTGTCGTGGTCGTCAATGATTGCCAGGGTTGTCTTCAGGGCCAGTAGGGGCGCTGCCAGCTCGATGCACGGAAAGCTCCACCCTCCTTCACAGCGGGGGAGGCATAAGCGGGAGCGCCTCACGAGTTCTGTGCGGTTGTTCCAGAAGAAGGTAAACAACGCCGAGCGCACTTGGAGGATGAAGGGGCGCGGCGGGAGGGCTACGCGGGCCACATGCCACAACCTTCCGCAGAAAACCGTCTGAACAAGGTACCGCCGCACAGCCATGGGGAAGTCGTAATGGCCAGCCTCAGCGGCCTTCTCTATGATCTCTTGACGCAGGTTGGACCAGGTCTCCGGAGCCACGCCGGAGGCGTCGTACGAGATTCCAAGAATGGTAACAGACTGGGCTCGCGGCAGAGATGGCGGGCACGTGGGGGGAGCTCCGATACAGAGAGATTTGCTTTTTTCAGGGTTCAACCGTGCGCCGGAGAGGCACGCGTACTCGTCGAAGAGTTGGAGGGCCTTCACCAGGCTGTCTTCGTCGCGCAGGTAGAGGGTCACGTCGTCCGCATACGCCGAGACGCGAAGCTCACCGGACCCAGGTAGAGCAAGTCCGCTTATGCTGGGGTGCCTGTCGACTCCAACCAGGAAGGGCTCTAAGCTGAGGACGAAAAGTACCGGGGACAGCGGGCACCCCTGCCGAACTCCTCGCGTTACCGGAAAGCGTGCCACTAAGGAGCCATTCAGGAACAAGTCACTCCGCAAGTCACTGTACAAGGCTGCGAACAGCTGAGCACTCTCGGAGGAGAAGCCAAACCCGTCGAGAACACCGAGCAGGTATTGGTGCTCGACGCGGTCGAACGCCTTGGCTTGGTCCAACGACACGAGAAGCCCGTTCGCCCGTCGGGAGCGTGTGAACTCCAGGATGTCGCGAGTGAGAGTCGTCAAAGTATGTATGCTGCGGCCCGACACCGAGCACGTCTGTCGGGGGTTTACCAGCTCCGGTAGGAAAGTTTGCAGACGCGAGGCTAGGGTCGCCGCGAGGAGCTTGTAGTCACTGTTTAACAACGTTATCGGGCGCCATGCCCCGGGGTCGGCATGGTCACCACCCTCCTTGGGGATGAGTACGATCCGTCCCAGCCGAAAGGATGGCGGTAGGAGGAGGTCTTCAAAGTAGGCCCGCACGACAGCGGTAAAGAAGTTACCGAGAATGTGCCAGAACGTGCGGTAGAACTCCGCTGGGAGACCGTCCGGTCCTGGTGCAGAGCCGTTCTTCATCCGCTTCAAAACGTTCCACAGCTCGGTCGCGGACGGGGGCCGCCGCAGGCCCGCGTCATCCTCGGCGGAGATCTTGGGGAGGCCGCTGAGGAGAGGGTGCGAGGACACCGAATAGCGATCAACCGGCGCGTCCGACTGGGCCAGCGATCGGAAGTGGGCTGCGAAGCGACCATTGTCAAGGTGGCCGGGCGACCCCGATGCGGAGGGCGTCTTCTGTCTTTCAAAGGCTTGTAGGCTTGTGCGATGGGTGTAGCGCAGTACCTCCGGGTGGACCGACGGGCTCCCCTGACCCTGCAAGACAGTAGCCGCGGTGGAGTCCCACCGAAGGTATCGTTCGTAGCGTCTCTGCAGCTGGTCGAGGTACGCCCTCATGAAGGGGGTCAAGGCGCCCCCTCGGCGGACGATACGGATTCGGAGGATAGTGTCTTGTAGAAGCCCTCGATGCCGTTCGCGGCGGTGCCGTCCCATCAGAGTGCTGAAGCTTTGCCATTGACCTTTTAGGCGGTCCCAAGACGCCGGCTCTGGGCGCACGCCCACTAGCGACTCCTTGACCAGGTTGCCTAGCGTGCGGCGCGTGGTCTCGTCGTGGAGGATCCTGGAATCCAGACGCCACGGACGTGGGGGGCGTGCGACGGCAGAGTCGAAGCAGAACTTGATAAGTAGCGGACGGTGATCGGAAATCTCTTCTGGGCACGACGGGAAGTCCACCGCAGTACAGGTCTGTAGCGCGGCAGATAGCGTGCGAGGCAAGTACAGCCGGTCTATGCGACTTCCCGAAGCCCCTCTGTTCCACGTCGACTGGTGGGTGGATCCATGCAGTAAGGACCATCCGTCTACGAGGTCGAAGTGCCTCACAAGCCGCCGAAGTTCACGGGCGGACCAGGTTGAGCGACCCTGACCAGGACCCCGAACGTCGGCGTTAGAGTCCAGAACGCAATTGAAGTCGCCGACCAAAAAGCACGGGCCCGCGTCGAGTAGATGCACGTCCAGGCTGCGGAAGTACTCGTGCTGGAAGGTCGATACAGTTGGTGCGTAGACAGTGACGAGGCGAAATTTTCGTTCACCGAAGAAAAAGTCCAAACGAAGAGTCCTTCCCTCTGTATCAAAAAGATAAGTGGCATTGCGCAGCAGACTGCGATTGCAGACAACCACGCCCACGCCCGTTGCGCGGCGCGGCGCATAAGAAAAAAAAGCAGTCACAGAAAACCGGGCTTCGAAATCCGTAACGTCACGGAAGCGGGCAAAGTTGGTGTCTTGCAAGCACAGAAGATCGCAGTTCTGCATCCTCGCGAAATGCATCACTTCAGTTTGCTTCGCTGGGTTTCGAAAGCCCCGCACATTCAGGGATAATATGCGAAGTGTGGCCAGTATAAAGTAAAAAGGGGGACAGGGACGCCGGCGTGTTGCTTAAAACGTGGAGCTGTCGGACGATGCTGGAGAGGGGTCCCGACGCGGGGGGGAGGACTTTCGCGGTTTCTTGGGGCACGTGGCTCGTGGGCCCCCACTGTCAGTTGAGCGGGAACCGCTGCTCCTGAGGGGACGCTTGGAGTCCTCGTGCGTTAGTCGGTTCGAGTCGGACTCCGGTGTTTCAGTTGTGGTCGTATCCATACTGTCGGTTGGTGTCTCTGCGGGGCCACCTGGAGCGGGGTTCTCGTCGATGACGAGGTGGTCGCTGTCGCTGGACACCTCGCCATCACCCGACGCTTGGCTGCACGCTGCATAGGCGGTGTCGCCGACAATAACCGCGGCGGTTCGGGCAGAGTCCGTCGCTTCGGCTGAAGTCACCCCCGAGCCGGTCGGGCTTGGCTCAGGTGGGGCGGATGGGGCCGGCGACGGAAGAGGCGGTGGTGCGGCCGCGGCTGCGGCGTCAGGGGGTGACGGAAGGGCGACGGTGGAGACGGTTGGTACGGCCGGAGCTTCGGGGGCGATGGGACGGGTCGCGTTTCCTGGGTCCAGGGCCGGGAAATCGGTGGCGTAGTTTCCGGTGACCATGGAGGAGTAGCTTCTCTTGGCCGTGCAGTCCACAGTCGCGTGGGTTCCACCGCAGCGTCCACAGTTGGCAGTGCAGCCCTCGGTTGGGTGTCTAAGACACCGCAGCGGTCGCAGTAGCCCGTCGTACACTGTGCCCGGACGTGGCCCTCCTGCCTGCAGCGTCGGCATACGCGCTTCAGGCCGCGGTAGTCAAAAGTAGCACGATGTCCGGCGACGCGCAGGAAGTTGGGCAGGGGGTTAGCCTCCTTCATCTCCATGCGGATGAAGCGGGTTCCTGTTTTCACAGTCGCCGTTCGGTGGTAGGTTGCGTAGGAGACGTCGATGACTTTGCCGTACGGGGCCAGGGCTTGGACGAGCTGGTCGTTGCGCACAAACGTCGGCAGGAAGAGGCAAGTCACATTCGTCACCTGCGGACCCGTCGGCACGATGGGGACTGACTGGTTGGCGATGGAGACGCTGCCGGCCTCACGAAGCTTGAGGGCGGCTGCACGAATATTGACGACGACTTGGAAGTTTGTACCTCCTAGGTGCTGCGCCGAGAAAATTTCGGGCAGCCCCACAATGGCGGATATCCCATCAATGAGATCGTTCGCCGATGTGCCTACTGGCACGACAACGTCGAAAGCGTGCGCTTTCGGCGGGGGAGAAGATTCCGTTGACGCGGCCGCCATGGCGGTTCGCACCCTTGCCGGGGCGCTCGACGACACGTAGCCACGGACCGCAGAACGCAGGCCCCGGACGAGATGCAGCCAGGAAACCAGGAACTCAGAAATAGCGACGAGATGTTTCAGCTCCCTAGTGATCGCTAGTTTTGACCAATTCCATTGTTACACAGCTTTGAGTGTAATTCGCAGTCACCCTGAACAAGCCTCCCATAGGGCTCAAGTACCTGTCATATCACTTTTAAATTTTCTCGTCAATGGCAACGTTTATGATACTGTGCATTCTGTCCAAACTTCAACCAGGCTGAGCCGCCGAAATCTCTAACCAAATTATCATTCTCGTGATTGTTGTTCTAGCAGGAATTACTTAAAAGCCGAGAAATCGCAACAACCAAACCCGGGATTTAGCTCGGATTCAGTGGAGCTGTTTATGACATTTTAGCCTTTCTAACTTAATATCAGCGTCTTTGAAGCTGTACGAGAATGATAATATAAGAGATATGTCTGCAGCTCATCCAGGTTGAAGGTTGGACGGAATGCACAGTACTGACATTGGCGGGACATCTTAAAAGTGGTATGGTAGGTACTTGGGTTCTGTACGGCACGTGTTCAGGGTGACTCCGAATTGCGCTCAAATCTGTATAACCATATAATTGCTCAAAATTTTCGATCACTAGGCAGCTGAAGAAACACCGTCCCCATGATTCCTTGAGTACGGGCCGAGGCGCTTGGGGGATTTAGCAAATTGTATATTCGGGCGTAATGTTAACACTTTTAAATAATTAAGGTACATTGAAATCCTCGTGAACTAGCACAAATAATCTCAAACTTAAGCTTGTCGAAGGTGAAGTTTGGGATTATTTGTGCTAATATTTAGCTCGCGAACAATGAGTCATTCAGAGTTCGGTAACAAAGAAATTGTTTTTTACTTTTTTTGAAGGCCGGTTGCCAGATAAGTCTGTATATACGCCAGATAATTCTGTATATACGCCATATCAGGCTGTATATATGTCAGATAAGTCTATATATACGCCAGATAAGTATGCATATATGCTAGATAAGTCTGTATATATGCCAGATAAATCTGTATATACGCCCTATCAGGCTGTATATACGCCACATAAGTCTGTATATACTCCAGATAAGGCTGTATATAGGCCGTATATAATCATATGATGTTTGATATGGCCAGATATGGGCCAGATATAAGATTTCCATACGGGTAGTCACTGTTTAGATGTAGAATATAGAGCCATGCACACCGCATCTCTCTCTCTCTCTCTCCCTCTCTCTCTTATTTTATTATTGATAGTGCACATCTCTTAACCACGGAGGCAGCAAGTTCCGTGTTTTTAAAATGGAACAAGAAACTAATAAAAATCTGGTGGGCATTTCTAGGCTGTAACGAATGTTAAAACACGATTAATAGTTTCGTTCATTGATACCCTAAAAATAATAGCCCGCGCAATTCAAAAACAAAAGGGGCTTAGGGGCTTTAGTCCTATCGTTGCAGCAAACAAATCAGAAAAGAAACGCGATGTTCACGTCCGTCACTTGAATTCGTCGCAAAAAATAATTGACTCGTAATTTTAATTTGCTTCGCTGCGGCACTTTGGTTTGTGTATGCTAGTTTGTTATTGCAGCTAACAAAGCATGTCGCTGCGCTGGCTTGTTTGTGTTCCCCCGTAGAGCATCGAAACCCGCCTCCGATCGCCAGAGGTGACAGGTTTTTTACCCACTTTGGCAGTCGCGTAAACTGCTGAAAGGTATCCGTACCGTACATGACGACCAATGAGAGCGACGTAGACGCTGTGAGCTTATTTGCGTAACACTACCCCGGAGCTGGCGCAGCACTTAAAGGAGCTGTGCAACAATTCCAGTCATTTGCTTAAATACTTTCGGAACTGATTTCTCGAACTTTTTGAAGTAAACAACAACAACAAAAAAAAAAAAACCTTTTGCCGGCATGTCCTAGTTTTTATTAAAAAAACAAAAACTGACAAAAAATAAGTTTTTCGGCACCTCTCAACTCCTTCACCATCTTCCGAGTCATGTGCTCTGTGACGTGAATAAGGGACGCGCGGGGTTCCGGTGAAGTTCTCTCTCTAGAGCCATCAGTGAGCAGCGAGAACTCACCCGCTCGCGACCACGTGACCACGTGCTTGCGCAGCGCGATCAACATGGCGAAAGGAGGAAAGTCTCGTCCGGGCCCGGCCATCCCCGTCCGGCTCTGCCCCCGTCCCCCTCCGGCTTCTAACGGCTTTCCCGGTAGCAACAACAAGCAGAAGCTGCACAACAAACAGCTTGAGCTCGTTCGGAAACACCAAAAGGTAGTTCCGCACCACGACAGAACACGGAACGTTTCCAACATCGTCCGATGAGTCAAGTGCACAGACTACCGCACCACATCAATCGCAGAAGGCCCCTCAACTTGTCTGGACAGCCATTCCAGAACGGCTCACACAATTGACGACACTCATTGAGGACTGTTTGCACAATGGCTAACCCCGCGATGCGTCCTTCACAAGACGGAATTATACAGTGCAACTGTAGGGGCGCTACCTCTAAAATTGAAGAAATCAAAACGAAACTCCAGTACAACAAGCTACATGTATGGGATTTAATTTTCAAGGACCACAATAAACTATGTGATTTAGCCTATTTTACTGGCTACCGTGATCAATTTATCCCTGATCAGCGCGAAACCTCAACTATATCAGCACCGGGCAAAGAAGCAGTATTTGTATCGAGTAGGATACAACAAACATTCTTTGATCTTGGAATATAGTTTAACTGTAAGCAAGAAGTTGTCGGTGTGCTCACATTTCTTGTCAAGACCTATGTCATTCTTACATCCTTCCACGCTAGACCACGGCGCACTAGAGCCAAACTTGGATGGATACCGCATTTCCGCACAGCGTATCCGGTGGTCCCTATTCTACTGGGCGCCCTACTGAAAAAAACTATATGAACCCATACGGCAAACCATATGGAATAGTATGGATCTATATGGTTCCATATGGCCAACCGTATGGCATGGTATGGATTCATACGGTTCCATATGGCTGAACCATACCGAGCCATACCATACACATATGGTTCCGTATAGTTGGATATGGCTGAACCATACGAAGCCATACCATACACATATGGTTCCTTATAGTTGGATATGGCTGAACCATACGGAGCCATACCATACACATATGGTTCCGTATAGTTGGATATGACTGAACCATACCGAGCCATACCATACACATGTGGTTCCGTATGGTTGTATAGTCTAGCCCATACAAAACTATATTCATTCATAGGGTCGCACCAGTACCATATACTCAACCGTTTACGTTCATATGACTGCAAACAATTCCACCTTATTGTCACGCGCGTCGCCGACCAAGCGCTCGTGGCCGAATGTTTATCATCTTTAAATCCTACGCAAGGGGCTCGAGGTTTGATGCCTGGGAGCGGGCGCGCCTTCTTGTTATTTCTGTAAATTTTGAGTTCTGGTAAATTCGAGAACCCTGTTGCTTATTTGTTGTTTGAATGTTCTATGGGCCGAACCTCCTTCGCTGATTTTTTCAGGAGCCCACTTGTGTACATAAGGAGCTCCGTGTTGCGAGCCGGGGTCAGTCTCGCCCCAGCATTTGATTGGAAGTGGATATTCTGCTGGTAGCTGGCACACCAGGGAAAAAAAATGCCGGCCGTTGTCCCATATCGGTCTCGTATAAAACAAATTGTGAAAACAGCAATTCGAAGTTGTAAAGTGGCGCAGTGGTAAGGTGTCTGTTTCATAATCAGTAGAACACTGGCGACACTGGTTCAATCCTGTTACAGGTTCGGTGAAAAAAAATATATTCTATGCAAACAAATTTATAATTTTGATAGGACCGCTAACCGGACGATAGGTCTACGCCCTGGTGACGGACTCACAGTGAGGGAAGAAGGAAGAACACAGACTCCTTTCTTTCCAACCACAGTGTGGTTTACTGAAAATCCGATAGATATAAAACAAAACAAACAAAACTCCCGACAGCGAGGCACAACGGACCGCCCCACAGAGAAAGCGCTCAGGCGCGACTTATCATGGAAACACGGCGCTCGTTCAAAGAACATTTTCTGCAAACTCAAAGGAAAAAAAAAAAAAATTAAAAGGGGGATAAACTATACAAAGTAATATGGGGGTGAGTGGCGCGAACCTGAGTCCGGTGAGTGATATGGGGGTGACGCGGCCTCTTGCGATGTCGACCGAACTCGGGAGGTCGATGTGCGCTTGGGTGCTGTCGGCGTGGCTCCTCGGCGCAGGCACTCACCCACGAACGCACACACACTTGGGCGCCCAAAGCAGCGCTTGGACCAGGGAGCCCAAACACCTCCCGCGCTCAGCCTTCCGTCGCTACCGCAGTCCCGCCCAAACTTCGCGTTGCGTTCACCCCCCGGCCAAGTCTTCGCGCACACTCCCTTGGCTCGGCTCGGAATCAAGCCGAGGTCCTCACTTTCCCAAATTCTAGCGGCAGACACCACTCTCCCTCGCCCCCCCCCCCCCCCCCAAAAAAAATAAAATAAATAATTGTTTTTTCTGCAGTTGTAACAACAAAATACATTTAAAAAAAAAACAAAAAAAAACGTCCCAGGCAAGTTCCGCAGTGAGCCTACCCCAGCTAACCATAAAGCGCACCCCCACTCCGACATCTGGAAGCTATTCCCAACATTCCGGGAAGCGAGTCGCCCATCGCTACCAACTCTCCGTTTCACCTTCAGACCGAGCGCAGTGGACGCCACGAGCCATCCCAGCCGATCCAGCGCCGGGAAAAAGTCGCGTGACCTGCCGGTGGGGCGGGGCGACACAGGGAGCTCAAGGTCGCATGACACTCCCTCAACGCCACATTGGCTGGGATGGCTCCTAGCGTTCCCTGTGCTCGGGCGGAAGGTGAAACGGAGCAACTTCGCGAGAAATGTCTTCGGGACGAGGGAGGGGCCAGGGGGCCATAAAACAGAAAGCGGGCGAGGCGAACGAGGCCCGAACCACCCTGCCGCTCAACGCGCGGGGCAAAGGAGCGTCCGGCGATCGGATGCGCTTCCTCGCGAGAACTCCAAAAAATAAATAAATAAATAATAATAATAATAATAATAATAATAATAATAATAGTCGAATTCTGTGACAAATCCCTATAACGCAGGGGTCTCCAAACTTTTTGGCCAAGGGGCCGGATTGGGGACCTCTCGCAGTCTCGAGGGCCGGAAAACAAATACATGTTATAAATCATTAAAAACAATATTAATAAGCCCTGATGAGCATTTAAATAGAGGAACTCAAGTTAGAGTAAAAACGAGAAGCAATCAAGGGTGGATTAATACATATACTTTATCTCGAAATTCAGCATATAGGTAATTGTGACATACGATAAGTGTGACCCAGATAACCCACCAGGCACAAATCAAAGCGCATATGAACTCTGGAATATTCGCACAGATAAAAAAACTAACGAGAACGGTAAAACTGTGATGACAATATGCAATAGTTATCACACATGACTCATATCACAATATACACGAGAACGGAAAGAAATTTTAACGTAGTTACAGATATGAAGCAGGAGACTAAGCACGGTGAACCTGATGATGACAACATACGACTATATGCCACAAAACACTAAGCAGTATTTGAGCCGGAATGCATCAGATTTTCGACACATTTACTCGGACATGAGGTGCAGGACTAATGTGAGCGGTGTAGCTGATCCTTCGGCTTTATTATTTCGCTGAACTGCGGCTTCAAGCTTGATGAGCCAATAATTAGGAGGGACTTCAAGTGTTCAACAGACACGTTAGCTCTGTATTTGGATTTTACGTACTTCATCCTTGAAAATGTCTGCTCACAAAGGTATGTAGTGCAAAAAAAAGCAGTTTATTTCAGGTTTGGAAATTGCTCAGAGCCCAAGGATTTGTAAAACTGTATAAAATTTCCTACCTTGTAGTTTTCCTTCAGAATGTAGTTTGACTGTAAGTCAAACTACCATTTTGAATAAACTACAAACTGTAAGTCAAACTACAAACTAACTCTCCTATCGAAGTCAGAAAGCCGTTCGAAAAATTGCCTCTGAAGGTATCTGAGGATTTCCATTGCGAAGAATGAGGGGAATTCCACATCAGTCTCTGTACGGAGCTTTGCACAATAGGGGAAGTGATCCCAGGTCTGGTTTCACACTTGTCTTTCGAAGAGCTGTAATTTCACCCTGAATCCTTTAATATCCATGGATACGTCATGAATAAGACGTGTCTCGCCTTGCAATCTCACATTCAGCTTATTCACGTGCTCCGTCAGGTCTACACAGAACGACAATTTCCAAAGCCACTTACTGTTCGAAAGCAGCGGTTCGGGCCGCTTCTTGTCTGCGAGAAATTTCCTTATTTCTTCTCTAAGGTTGAAAAAACGCGAAAGCAGTTTACCGCAACTCAGCCATCGCACGCCAAACGTCTACAAACTCCGATTCACCATCTTTTAGGAATTCACGAAACTGGCTATGATTAAGCCCATGCGACATTATGTAATTCACGGCTGAAACCACAGCTTTTAAAACACACGACATGTCCACATATCTCCCACAGAGTGCCTGCTAAAGAATCGTACAGCCCCCCCTACCCTACCCCCCCCCCCCCCCCCCCCCCAACGCACCGCTTGCGCGGCTGGAGCCGCGTTCGAGATTCTTCTATCCTTCGTCCTCCCCTAAGCTGACAGTGCACTGAAAGCTGCATACCCGCTAAACCAGTCAACTCCCGGTCTTTTGCCACGTGATCACACCCTCTCTGCATATTATTCACGAGTGGAGAGCGAGATCTGGCGATAAGAGACATGCAGTTGATTGGTCCGGCGAACACGCAGCTTCCACCGCACTGTCAGTTTTCGTGTGAACCGAGCATTCAAAATGCCTTTTTCGCTTCGGCGTCGAGCGAGAAATACGATGAGGTGTTCTCTCTTTCCGGTATGTTCGGTGCTCGTCGCGCCGTCGCGTCTTTACGCGCACTTCTGCCCGCACTGGTAGCAGCGGGCCTATACTGGTAGCGGGCCGTGGGCCGGAGCTCAATATAAGCACCATGGCCAGCCGCGGGCCGGTCAGAAAGCCTCCGCGGGCCGGATTTGGCCAGCGGGCCAGGATTTGGAGTCCCCTGCAACGCTTAATTTTCTTTCTTTCTTTCTTTCTTTTTTTTTTTTTGCTGAGGCATTTGGTGATATTTACAACATTTGTTTTCTACAATTAACAAAGAAAAAAAAAACGAATATTGTCTACGAAACTTTGCTGAACTAAACGGTAAGTGGAGGACAGTGGGGTAAGTGGAGGACGGGAGGCACTCACTTGATCGAATGACGTTTTAGCGAACGCCCACTAATGAGCAGCCGCAGACTGTCGCTGCGAAGCGGCGCGAACGCAGGCGGGGGGTTAACACGATCTCCAGTGATACACGCGCCGTCCGAAATTGCTGGCAATTTTTCCCCGGGCTGTTGTGCCAGCTGCCGCAAAATAGCCCCACCCGCGTTTCATCCTGCGGTTCTTCCGTCATCGCCGCCTGCGACGCTAGTCTTTTTCTATTTTGTTTTGGGCACAAGTTTGCCCC